TTTTCTCTGATTACTTCGGTTTCCTGTGCCAATCTTCATTCCACCAAATTCTCAATCATAATAATCACCCGGGGCAGGCTACAATAGGCCAATCAGTGGCCGCCATGCCGAGTGGACCCAGCTGAACTCCACCCTCCCACTAAGCGAATTAAAAGAAAGACAAACAAGAAACCAGCAGTGAGTAGGCAGTAAAAATTTCAACGGATTATATAGCGTTATATCACAGAATACAGAACTCTTCCAGACGAATAGGCCACTGTTCTTATTCGCATTACCCCTTCCAGGTTTCACTTATTGTTCATTTCCCTTTGAAAGGACTCGTGGGTTTCTTGTGTCGTTATTCCTTATCAGGGGCAGAAAGGGCATTTTGTTACTGTACAGGCTTGGGAATTCCTTCCTGCCGGTACCATTTTGGGAAAGACAGTTACGATATCTTCAGACACTGCAAATAAGCACATTAGCAATAGCTATGGAACTCATGCTGCTGTATTCTATCATACCTTTACACAACTTAAATTCCCTACCATAAAACAACAGTGTAATATTCGTGCAAACTTTTGAGGTACAACTAACACCAGTGCCACTTCGGGCTCCGAAAATGTTTTATAACCGAATATCTTCGAAAAATATTCAACTTTTCCAAGTCTATTAATTTGTGGAATATAAAATGACATTTGCATAAATCCTACCTTCCAGATGAAAGCAACAGGCTCCTTCGAAACGTTATTACCTATCTACCAAACTGCATGGCGTCATATCCAGAATACAATTAAAACAATTAGTAATCTTAACAATAGTCACTGTAAAAGCCTCAGCTCCGAATGTCGAAAATTGTTTAAATTTCAAGTTGCAAATCATTATAAGCTCTATATTCTGTATTACATACTCGTACTAGTGCATGTCCTATCAGTGCTTTGGAGAAAAGGGTAAAGTTTGTAAAATTTGGTACAAGAGTCATCGAAATCAGAGGTTATAGCACTACTGGAGCGATAAGAATCAAAATTAATATCGTCGGGTAAATTTTACTGCCCATCCCCAGATCCAAATTTAAAAGAAACCATTTGAGAAGTTTCGGAATTAGAATGTAATTATCAACAAAAATGGCTTCCCCATAAAGTGTTCATTTCATAAGTTTCGTCCCAAAGACTCTTACTATGCAGGTAACTATGTACGAGTATATAGATTTTAATAAATAGAGCCTAATGGCTGTTTTTCTTAATCTCTGTTCTTAGCTCCCTTCTTTAGGGGAGGTTCAGCTGAACTATAACGGAATATTCTAGGCAACGATCTACCCGATGTTCCTCAAACTCGTGTGCCACATTTTACGCTCAAATGTGCTTCTGATTTAACAGTGGATCACAGTTGAAGTGAGATCTTGTTCGACCCTAATATCTTATGTCATCGGCCTGTACTCTTGTTTCTTGGCTATACTGGTGTTGCTTGTATATTCCTCTTTTCACATTCTTTCGTATCTGTTAAGCATTAAGATTTTCAGCTGCAAATTTTCGATCTTAATGCTCTATTTTTCTACCACTCTCTTCATTTGTTACTCCTTTTCAAAGTTTCTTTAATCTATTATATTTATCTGTGAACTGTAATTCATATTACAGAAAATTATTATTCAAGTAAGACGAAACATGTGCGTAAAAATATCTTTGTGTGCGACACCATTAAAGAATGACGTAAATAGTTGCGTCACTATAAATTTACTAGATTACATTTTCATCATACTCGTACGATGAGAATCAAATTCGACCTACCGGAAATGACGTTGAACACACAGGACTTTTCTTACGTAAATGTTCTTATGCAAAGTATGAGGCACCCTCAGAGATATTTCAGGAAAAGTACAGCCTTCATATATATATGATCACACTAAAATATAAAAATGCTTCGTATTGTGGACTTTTGGGTTACGATGCCATGTTTGATATGGTAGGTGGGTATTTAGGTGCCAAAGCCCAGAAGAATATATTAATATTCACTGCTGTGAAAACTTCAAATTTTCTTTCAAACGCTCTCAAAAAGGATTTTGATTTAATACAACTATTGTATTCTTGGACATTATTCATCGACCTGTTTTTATTTAAAATACGACGTTTCGGAGGCTGGATTCTTCGGAGATAGGGATCAAATATATCGATTGGGCCCAATTGAGTATAATTTTACCTGAAAACGTTGTGTTTTAAATAAAACAGGATGATGGATGATGTCCAAAAACACAGTAACTGTATTAATGTACCATCCTCACAAACTTTTAAATCTTATTTTCACTTAATTGTATTGCTTTCTTTGAACAAGAGTGCAGAAGTGAATGCATAATGTGGAAACTGTTCCCTTCCCTTACGTATATTTGAAGCATAAAACCAGTAAACGGATTTTGATTAAATTTTGTAAAGGAGAGGGTTCACACACATTGTCCACCAGAACACATGTAACCAAGACACCAACCACGAAGTATATACTAATGCAAAAAGAACCAGAACACAAAAATAAGAACACCACGACAAATAATATATCATTTCGAATTATTTTTGGATCACTTATATGACCTATTAAATTATTTTAAGAGGAACCAATTTGGTGTAAACAATTAACTTTTCGGTATTAAGCCCTCGCAGGCTATATAATACTGGAATATAGTATAACAATTCACCCAAATCATCATATACAATATACCTGACGATGGCCCTGTGTGGCCGAAACATGTCGATGAATTTAAATGAAAACATGGCCTAAGTGGTGATTTTACCGATGACCTTTGAAGCTACACTGAAAACTGCATTGTGCATATACGTATAAATTGAACAACTAATGCAGCAAGATGCCAGTCTTGATAATTATACACTTTT